TGGTCCACATTTGTTTAAAGTAAACAAAAAACATGTGCATACTGACTAATGTTACTTAAATAAATGCTCTTACCTTTTTATATATTTCTAGATAAAACAACTAAAAACCGCAGTCAATTGTTTCCTTTGTAATATAACACTTATATGTCGCGGGCGGATGTTGACGATGGAGCGTCACTACTGTGCATGCACGGTATGGTAAATCGATCGCACATGCGCATTAAGTAACGTGGCTATAATTAGAAATCACTAAAGTTATAAATATTAGTTGCGTATATTTTTGCATAAATTGTGGTCACCTATCTCTAACAGTGACAGGTTGAATTTCAAACCACGATGGTTCAAAATCCGGTATCACAACAAACATATCCTGAAAATTTCAGCTAAATCGGTTCAGTAGTTTCCGAGTCTATAGGGGTGAAACAAACACACAAACATTGATTTTTATATATATAGATTTTAACAGTGAGACTGTTATTTATTTATAAATGTTTCCGCAGTAGTAAAATATAGTTTCGTGATGTTGTTTTATTATATTCATTTTTGTTATTTCTGTACAGCTATCACACTGTTATTATATTTAAAAAATAAGATACAAACAATAGATTGCATAATTTATTACCTGGCATGTTTTGCTGTATCTCCTCATGTGCATACTCTAGTAAAAATCAAAATAATTACTAATGTGGTGCTTTAGCAGAGAACCAAACAAACTCCAGTTTCTTCTCCTTCTTTTGTTCACTTCTTTCACACTTTGTTCAACTTCTATATCTGCAATGTTGTCTCTAGTATGAACTTCACTGTTGTCATGCAATCAGAGACCTGTAAAGATTGGTTTCTACCAGTGTTTCTCTTGGCCAGAAGTTTTACCTTAATATGTAGTATTTTGGGGCAGTATTGGAGGACATAATCTGTTTCTCAGATGCTCCACATGTGCACAAACTCCAGTGGATCAAGAAGTGGCGAAAAGATGCTGGCGTTGCATAAGACACATGTTGAGAAAATCTTAGATCAGTATAACTATGTTTTTACACTGGGGTGTAGGCATAAAGGCTGACCACAAACACAAGGAGAAGGGAACTAGAGCATGAATGCAATTTTTTTTTTAATGGGGTGAGCTGCATGCAAACTTGTCTTCACTCATAAAATACTTGTACTATTCAGATGCTTGTATCCCTGTGGGTGTGATGCACATTAACAGCATAGGACATCTGTTGCGACTAGACAACACAGTCAGTGAGGGGACCCACGCTCAGCCTAGTTTGTGGGATCTGGATATGGAGGAACAGAAAGATGGTAAACAAACTTTTCATTTAAAATTAAATTATTGTTATCTGATTTTTGCTCTGACTTTCTGCAAGAAGATTGGCTGATTATGAATTTTATTTATCACACAGATTTATCTCTTTTATCTGCTGATTATGAATTTTATTTAACACACAGATTTATCTCTTTTATCTGCTGATTATGAATTTTATTTAACACACAGATTTATCTCTTTTATCTGCTGATTATGAATTTTATTTAACACACAGATTTATCTCTTTATTTGCTGCTGGATTATGAATTTTATTTAACACACAGATTTATCTCTTTATCTGCGATTATGAAGTTTTTTAACACACAGATTAATCTCTTTATCTGCTGATTATTAATTTTATTTAACAACTTGGATCTACATTTTATCTCTTTTATCTGCTGATTATGAATTTTATTTAACACACAGATTTATCTCTTTTATCTGCTGATTATGAATTTTATTTAACACACAGATTTATCTCTTTTATCTGCTGATTATGAATTTTATTTAACACACAGATTTATCTCTTTTATCTGCTGATTATGAATTTTATTTAACACACAATTTTTCATCTTTTTATCTGCTGATTATGAATTTAAATTAACACACAGATTTTAGCTCTTTATCTGCCTGATTTGATTTAACTTTAACACACAGATTTATTCTTTTATCTGCTGATTATGAACACTTTAATTTAACACACAGATTTATCTGCTCCTTATGAATTTATCTGCGTTATCTGCTGATTATGAATTTAATTTTAACACACAGATTTATTCCTCTTTTATCTGATGATTATGAATTTAATTCTAACACACTAGATTTACTCTTTTATCTGACTGATTATGAATTTAATTTAACACACAGATTTACTATTTTATCTGCTGATTATGAATTTAATTTTAATGTGCCAAGACAGTTATGAGAAACTCCACCTGCAGAGAAAAAATAACTTTTTAGATTGAGTCGATTTGAAAGACATCACAGTACCTGGAAAATTTTCCCCAAAAGCACTCTGCCCTATTCCCCCAAACCGACAGTTCCATTCTGAGGGTACCAGTATCGCTGTATATTTGACTTCCCTCCTGGGGGGTTTTCCTGCGGCCAGATTTCCTGTCCTTCCTCTGCCCTTCTCTTCAACGTGTATGTTTTTTAAAGGTTTTTCGTGGTTTATACCATGTTTTTTATTTGACAGAAAGGTCCCGGGTTTTGAATAGTTGTCCACTGGGTTCAGAGGTTTTGCCCTTTGTGAATTTTGTTTTTTGGTCATGGACATACTCTTATTCAGTAAGGTAATTCCGGGGATATTATCTCCTTATCAGCAAGAACGCAGGTTCCACAGGATTTGGGCTGATTTCTTTTTGTAAATTTTATCAAAAGGGTTTTTTGTTCATAGGGGAAAAATTTATGTCCCTTCTCATTTTAGGTTTTAAATTTCATGGATATTGTATGGGGAATAGAGAGATTTCAACTACAGAAGCTTTTCTGGTTTAGTTTAAAGACAATAGTTTTTTTTTTTTATTTTTCTTTAGAAAATAAGTGCATTTTAAAGTACATTTATTGTTAAAAAACAGTACCTTTCTACCCCAGAAGAGAGTCCCAAGTTTTGTTGGAGAAAATTTTTTTAACTAATCCTTGTGATGGATTTTGGTAAAGTGTGTCTATGTACCCGGGCACCTAAAGGTATGGGATGATGTAGAGGTGAAAATTTCTAAGTAACATTTGTTTATTATCAGAGGTCTATGTTAATTAAAAAAGTAAATTTATACATACAGTGACAAATAGCTTGGTAACATAAATATTTGGGAGTCACTCCAGCAGCGCAGCTACTAAAAACTCCATGCTGGGCCCGTGGCTGGGTTCAAATCCCCGTCGGCCAGTTTTTTTTTTTAAAACTCATCTGGTCAAACCAGCTTAAAATGATCCAGGCAATTTTTAGGAAGTAAAGGGGGGGTCCCTTTGGGGGGTTTACCACACACCCTTTAATGTTTGTATTGGTCTTAAATCCTTGTGTGGGTTTTTACGGAAAAAATAAACCATACCCCTAACAAGGTCCAAAAGGTGACCATTTTGGGGTTTGCTGAAACCGGGA